TCCGAGGCGGAGAACGTGCCGCCGGTCATCCCCACGCCGCACCACTACCTCCTCAGCGTCTACCGCCACAAGATCTTCTTCGTGGCCGTTATCCAGAGCGAGGTGCCGCCCCTCTTCGTCATCGAGTTCCTGCACCGCGTGGTGGACACCTTCCAGGTATGGCTCCCGCCCCAGCGAAGGGCCCTGGGTCACTGCGGGGCGCAGAAGGCAGCTCCTCGCTAACTGGTAGCGCCAGTTAGTTTCCTCTTTTTTTGCTGTGTCTCGATTCTCCTCCTGTGGCCGCGAGGATCTAGAGTGGGTCTGGAGGGCTTGTGTGGGGAGGAGGTACCGTGCAGGGTGGCGGTAGAGTCGCGATAAGCTGATGTGTGCAGGAGGGACCCTTCGCCAGTCACGACTTCGACGTGTCCTCTGGGAGCTGTGCAGCAAGACCAAGCTGTCCTCGCAACCGGGAGGTTTTGCGATCCGTAGCCACGTGCTTCAGTCAGTTAGTGACAACCTGCCAAAGTGTTTACGTCTAGTAATGTTCCTTGGAAGCGTATTCGCTTCCTGAAGAAGTGGGTCGCAGGTGTTGCCCCAGAGCAACCGTGTTCTCCCTGTGCGATGGCTGACGTGACGGACGGACGGTCTAGGGAGATAACGATGATGTGTCTCTTCTGCCTGCCAACAGCGGGACTGTGTAGTCCGGGTTTGAAATGTCTTGTGACCGTCATCCTACCAGAACACGGGAAATGCGGGTGCCTCGTTGAACAAGTACCATGTGAGCTTTTGCTTCCAGGTGCCAATTGGAACACAAGTGTGGTCCGAGTTATGTTTCGCTGTCTTCAGGGGGTGGATTGGCTGTTTCAGGCAAAAAACATGCTACGTCAGTTGCTTAGGTCTTGGGGTTTGTGAGGGGACGTAGCGTGAGTGTGTCTTCACTGGCTTGACTGTATGTTAAAATCTGATATGTCTGAAAAATAAATAGCGTTTGTAGTGCAGGACTAGGAATTCTCTAGCGTCGCAGTTTACGTATGCTCATGCTTTGTGCAGAATGCCGGACCTCTTTAATTGCTCTAAGTAACTAGAAGCTCAAGTTTGTGTTTGCGTGCACACGATTGCTCTTTCTCCAGAAAGATGCGTGAAGTCCCCATAGGATAAAACTGTACGTAAATTAAATATTCAATTTTTTAAATTGCTGAATTATTGGGAATGCTTCCTATAACTTATTCTGAATCTTGAAAGATCTCCACTTAGTTTCTGTACCTACATTGTGTTATACAGATTTACAATTTGACTTGGTATATTTTTACTGAAAACTTTAATATTGCTAATTATTATTTTGGAGTAGGAGCTGAAGAAACAGCAGAGGAATCAAGCTGGGGAATAAAATGGTTTGTGGATCTTTCATGATTCACGTTCTAAGGTTCTGCTTTATACACCTCTTAAATTATGAAGAAGGAGAGTTTTGTTACATGTATAGAATTGTTTTTCAGACTTTTCAGGATATTGGACTTCGGCTATTAGTCTAATACATCTTAGAATCTGTAAGCAGTCTGTACATCCCAAGCGGTATCAGAATGAAAAGGCAACAGGTAGTGTGTTAGCCAGATTTCAGAAGTGCTCTCCTGTAAAACAAACATGGATGTAGGCAGAATATGCCAAGTGTTTGAAGCTGTGCTTCCCCTATATTCCACATAAAATAAATAGTAAAAAAATATTTACAGAATTGAAGTTAATAATTGTATTGTTGCCCGTATATATGCAAGCATTATAACAAAAGTAAATAAAAAGCTTTGATGAGGAGAGGATGAATTCCTTAAACAGCAGTGCTGCCCAGGTAAAATATTGAGAGTACTGTAGAAGACCTGGGCAGCTGAGGAAGGATCTATAGTACTGGAGTCTAATGAAAGGCATCACTGCAATTCAGTAGTGGCTGCAGGAAGTAAGTTTTTCTTATTAATATTGCTGCTTAATCGGTTGCAACTGAGCCACTTCCAAGTGCTAATTAAAAAATCTCTTAGCTATCAAAGGGAATCTTCTTATGTAGAAAGGAAATAAGAGCATGTGACGATGCTGTGATTTGCCAGCTCGCTGGGGCAGTGGCAGAGGTATGCTCAGAGTTCTGCGTGTCTGTTGGAGTGGTCAGTCTGTCTGACATGCTTGGGAGTACCTCCTCCAAGAAGAGGGTTGATTTATTTCTGTGTGAGAGAACACTGAACTTAATGATCACTAAGACTGTCTTTGAGATTGTTGAGTAACTATTTCTTTTGCACAGGATTACTTTGGTGTCTGTTCAGAGGTGATGATCAAGGACAATGTTGTGGTGGTTTACGAGGTGTTGGAGGAGATGCTGGACAATGGCTTTCCATTGGCAACAGAGTCTAATATTCTTAAGGAACTGATAAAACCTCCAACTATCCTGCGAACAGTTGTCAACACCATCACAGGTACAGGGAAACAAAAAGTAGATAACCTGGGGAGGCCGTGTGGCAATATTACTGCATAAATAAATTAGGACGTGGGTGAGGAAGATTTATGGTGTCGCATACCATTCTAAACCCCAGCCTAAGCGTATTTAGGGGGTCCTATGTTAGTGCTTTGCTTTGAGCTTCTTTCCAGTTCCAGCACCAGCTGCACTTTTGTTTGGTTTTTTTTTCTTAACCCAAACAAACAGATTACATTTTCAGTTACAGCTGTGACATGATGTCCTGGATGAGTTAGTTTGGTGTAAGTTTTTTGTTGGGGTAGCTTTTTGTTTTGTTTTTCAGTTACACTTCCCCCATCCTTATTGTGGTATGTTTTACAATTGGTTGTAAGAGAGGTGTAAATTGTAGATTACAGTGAGTCTGGAAGGGTAATTGCTCTCCTACAAAGAGATAGAAGTTCTCAGGAATTAATTAAAATTAAGTTATAGGAGGCCAAGGACTTGTTCTGGGGCATTGTCTAACTGCTGTGGTTGTTGTGATTGCCTTTCTTTTTCCAGGAAGCACTAATGTGGGTGACCAGCTTCCTACTGGACAGCTATCAGTGGTGCCTTGGAGACGTACTGGTGTAAAATATACCAACAATGAGGCGTATTTTGATGTGATTGAGGAGATAGATGCAATCATTGACAAATCAGGTATGGAAGTTGCTTCTGGCTAAATGGAGGGTAACTTGTCCTGATAGTGCCTGAAGAGAGATTTAGGTTTTCAAAGAGGAGCTCCCTTTACTAAGTGTGGGAAGCTCTATTCCTGTTCTTACTCTGGAATGTTGCCAACTCGTAGGTGCTATTCAGTCAAAATTTTTGGAGGGGTACTGAGGTTTTCACTTGTCCTCGTTCCTGAAGTTTTGTAGGCAATTCTGTATTGGTGGGTGTCAAGAGGATGGGGCCAGACTCTTTCCAGTGGTGCCCAGTGACAGGACAAGGGGCAGCGGGCACAAACTGGAACATGGGAAATTCCATCTGAACATGAGGAAAAACTTCTTTCCTCTGAGGGTGGCAGAGCACTGGCACAGGCTGCCCAGAAAGTGTGGAGTCTCTGACTCTGGAGATATTCCAAACCCACCTGGACACATTCCTGTCCAACCTGTGGTAGGTTGCCCTGCTCTGGCAGGGCGTAGGACTAGATGATCTCCAGAGGTCCCTGCCAACCCCTGCCGGTCTGTGATTCTGTAATTGGGAAAATAGAAAGTGAGTGGAAATAGTGCTATGCGCTATCTCCTTAGGTTTTTCTGTATTTTAGTCTTGTTAGAGTTAGGAGCTATTGTCATTGGCCATTAAAATGGACATTGCTGGCATCAGTGGTTCTTATTTGTATGCATCTTCTCCAGAAGTCATTGAGAATGAGAAAAATGTTGAGCGAGCAACACAATGAGCCATGACATTTCATAAAGATAATAGATTTCCTTCCTCCCCATTGATAGTTTTTCCACAGTTTACTTCCCATGTTTACTTCGTTGTCGCAGGTTCCACGATTACTGCTGAAATCCAGGGGGTGATTGATGCTTGTGTCAAGCTGACTGGGATGCCAGACCTTACCCTCTCCTTTATGGTAAAGCTCAAGGATGTATCTTCACTTATATATTTTGAAAAGGGTTTCCTAGCCCTGCTACTAGGATCTCAGTCTCATGCTGATGGATTCCAGTAAATCAGAACCTGGATATGCCAAACAAAAAGAGAAAGAACTGACAATGGAAACTTATAGTGAATTTCAGCAACTTTGATCCTAAAGGTCTTATTTTCAGATTCTTTGTTAAAAGTACTGTTAGTGTTTGCTGTGACTAAGTTTCTGAGATACAGTGGTGCTTTAGGCAGATATCCTAAAGGGCCATCTTTTTTTATGACGATGCATCAATGTAATTATTTGACATGACTAAATTTTCTAAAATAGGATAGGGATTATTGAGTACTGCTGTTGCATAGATGTAACAGCATCAAGTAGCTTAACATGTCTGAATGTAGATACCTTCAGGTGAGCAGAGTGTGTCGAATGATAGGCCCTTCACGGATAGAAGCCTGAGAAGAAAAAGAGGTTATTTTAAGTAATACTGCCTTCACTAACCTTGTGACTTTCTTTTCTTTCAGAACCCTCGGTTATTGGATGATGTCAGCTTTCATCCGTGCGTGCGTTTTAAGCGCTGGGAGTCAGAGAGAATACTCTCCTTCATTCCACCTGATGGAAATTTTCGCTTGCTGTCCTACCATGTCAGTGCTCAGAAGTAGGTGATAAATGTAGTGCTGTGAATTATGAAATTTGAATCTTCCTGGCTAGGAGAAAAACAAACAAAAAAAGGAATTGCTTCTAAAGATCAGGTGGCATATCATGCCAAATGAAGTAGAGGTGCATGGTAACGTGCACTTTTCCTGTTTTTAAAGCACATGTTTTCTCCTTGATTGGAGCAGGGGTTCTGTCATTTCTTTTTGGTCAGTCAGCATTTTTCAAAGTCTGGTGGCAGATGAACAAACTAAAGAGGGAAAGAATTAGGCAGTATGGAGTAATCAAGCTGTTGATTTCCTATGTTTATAAAAACTTGCAGAATAAAGCAAGATAGTGTAGTAACCTTGTTGGGTTTTTGACATCTCGTAATAGAACTACAAATCCTTGTTCACTGTTTGCGCTCTTTTCTAGATGCAACTTACCAAGTGCTAGTTGGGGTTACAGATGCTAAAGTATTTTGTTAGACTTTGTCAGACTTTTCAAGTAGATGAAAAGGAGTGGGAAATCCAACCGAAAGCACAGGCGTGAAGTTCAAGTGCTGCTGTACTGCCTGGAGCTACTTGCCAGCTTGATTGTGACGTGCAAAAACATTCCTCATCCTTTGCTCAAGTCTCTTGTTACATTGGATGTAGTTACCTATCTGGTAGAGGTAGACAACTAAGATATGGCAAGCTTGATTAAAAAAAGTGTAACTAAGACTTGAGAACAGGATTCTGACTTTGCTCTTAGATCAAACAAATGAGTGCAGGCTTTCCTTCTTTTTTAAGGAGACTGTTTTCCAATGTTTTCAGTGTAGAAGGCAAGGACTGCATCAGGAAAAGCAAAGATGAATGCAAGAGATTGACAAGGACTTTCTGTTCATGTCTTTATTCTAGTCTTGTGGCAATTCCTGTCTACATTAAACACAACATCAGTTTCCGAGATAGCAGCTCACTGGGACGTTTTGAGATCACAGTGGGGCCGAAGCAGACTATGGGGAAGACTGTAGAGGGGGTGATGGTCACCAGCCAGATGCCAAAAGGTGTCTTAAACATGACTCTTACACCCTCTCAGGGAACACATATCTTTGATCCAGTTACAAAGGTGAGAGGAAAAAGAGAAATTAGATTTTATTTTTTTTTTTAAATCTTTTTTACCTTTCAGCAAATGAAGTTGAGTTGCTCATGCTTACATGAACATTTCTTTGAACACTGCTTTTCTGAAGGCAGTATCTTTTCTTGGGGTGAGAACTTTTTCTGTATAATTGCATATTAGAAGTTGTTTTAATCCCCACAACAAATAGCTCAGTGTCTGAGTGGAATGTAGTTCTGGTTGCTTGGTGTGTGCAGAAAATCCAAAACCAGGTATTGTACAATGAGGCATTAGTCTGGTGGATGCTTTACAAACTTCTACGAATCTATTTGTCATGCCTAGTACTGTACCTTAGACTTGGCCCTTTGCAAACACTGAGGGTTTGGGTTGGTTAGTGGGGTTTGATTTGTTTTGGGGTGTTCTGCTTTTGTTGTTTTGCCTCCTCCCACCTCGAGTTCACTTTTTATTTTCTTATTGCAAACTTGAATTTGATGGTTTACACACAGTAGAGCCTCAAGCAACACTGCCTCGGCCACTTGGAAAGGAGGCAATTCTGCATTATTTTTGTCACTGTTACACATAGGAAATGGGGTGTGCAGCACAAGTAGTGGAAATAGCATTCATGGTAGGCTTTTGGGGAACCTCATGAAAAGAGAGAGGGAGAACAAAGGTCTGAGGCAGCTGCTCCTTGAGCCTGTCCAATATGAAAGGAAATATACTAAGACAAAGACCTTTTCCTTAAAGAAACATTAAAAGTGGTCATTGGAAGGGGACTCTTCTTCAGAGGGTGTTACAGCACTTCTGTTTCACTGCTGCATTTTCTGTCCCTTGAAGCTGTTGTCATGGGATGTGGGAAAAATAAACCCCCAGAAGCTGCCAAGCCTGAAGGGGAGTGTGAGCTTGCAAGCTGGGACATCAAAACCAGATGAAAACCCCACCATTAACTTGCAGTTTAAGATTCAGCAGCTGGCTATATCTGGTAAGTGACTGGCGGGTAAAGCAGCTGACTATTCTCTGCTGTGTCAGTGCATACTCTGCACATAGCTGAAATAGCACTGCAGGCCTTCTGAAGTACATTCTCTCTGAAACATGTTCTTCAAGTAAAAAAATCGTGTGCTTTGACTACAGATATATGGATTTGTTCTCCCTGGTGCTCTGTGAAACAGTCTATCGACATTTCCTTGCATTTTGTGCTTACAGACCTATACAGAATTGTAGGGTGTGGATGTGTTTGTAAAGAATGATTCTGACAATTAGCAGTTGTCAGCTTTTCTCCGTTTTGTTCACTGCTTGCTGAAACTTCCTCTGTGCTTTATGCACCTCTAGTATGATATTCTGTTCCTTTATTCTGAAGGCCTGTCTGCTTTGTTTATGGCAGCAGTCAGTCTTATGCTGTGTTTGTTTGCTTTTAGGACTGAAGGTGAATCGCTTGGACATGTATGGGGAGAAGTACAAGCCCTTCAAGGGGATAAAATACATGACTAAGGCTGGCAAGTTCCAAGTCCGAACCTAGAGGATTCCAATAGTGAGGAAGAGCACTTTCCTGTTTCTCCTTTCCCTGGCTGTTGGATGCAGCCTCTTACCCCATCTATATGTTTAGGGTTGCTCCCTTGCCTGTAGTAGCATGAGCAGGAGAGCCAGTGCTTCGGGTGCTGGGGACCAGGGAGAAGTAAGGTTGACCTGAAACCATCTCATCCCTAGCTGAATCTGAAGTATTTGGAACAATGGCAGATGGGAGAGGTGTTCAGGTCCCTTGGGATTAGTGAGTCAGCTATGTAAGCTTGTATCGCCTTCATTTTGCTCTTTTAAAGGAAATTCTAGGGATTTTTGCCTTTTGTAACTCCTCTTCCTTACATTTTGGTTGGCTTTTTTCCCTTTGAGGATGATACAAAATTGAATTTCCACAGACTTCAACTCCAGCGTGATGGTCCAGCATCTGCCCTTCTCCATCACTGGGCGTTAGGGCAGAGAGCTGTATTGTTCTTTGCAGCAGAGAGATCATCTACCCGTTTTCCTCAAAGGGACTGGAAGATGTGAAAGGTAGATTGTCCCACCCGGGACAGGAAGTTAAGAAGCCTGAGATTGGGGATGGTGTCACGAAGGGAGGAAGGGAAGAAGTGGATGCTTTTTCTAGATATTTCATAAGCCATTTTGGTCATCAAGTATCATGTATCTCTGGAGATAGACTGGAAACACATCTGAATCTTAGTATGGTATCCTGTGAAGGGCTGCTTGTAGCACACACGGTGGTGCCATCTGAATATAATTCTGCTTCTCTTATTTTGTCAGTGTTTGAAGGTAGGGATTCTCCTAGCTTCTTTGGGGAGTTGGGGAAGAGATACAGAGGCAGGAGAATTTTTGTGGAGACATAGCACTCTGGTGGAAACTGAAGCTGCGGCTAAATGAAGACGATCACTATCCTAGTAACTTGTTGGAACCTCTTTTTGTCTCTGCCTACCTATTACGAATGAAGGTGATACTGCTGTTCTCCTGCTCACTGATGTCTTTGAGATAATTGTGTCTTGGTACCTTTGTAGTATTTCTGGCTGTCCTACCTCATTCCAGTTCCTGTACCAATCAGCTGCTGTGCAGGTGGATTCAAACCTACGCTGGATTTTTCACTGGGACCATCTCTTCTGCAGGATCTGTTGCTGCGTCTGCCCATTCCATTCTGTGCTGCATCTTTCTGTACAGGATAAATATAAAATGAGAGGCATCTGCACTATTCCGTATTGTCTGTAATGTGCTCTTTCGCCACTAGATGCCCATGTGTTTTCTCTGTGGTAGCAGAAGTTGTCCTTAAGATGCTGTACATGTGACTGCAGCATCTGTCAGGTGGCTGTGCGGTTCATGCTTGTGAACAGAACAAGGTGACCCTAAACGAAGGATAACATACATTCTGGTTTGCATGTGATGGATACTCGCAGTGGGTGAGTGGCATCTTGCATGTGGAATTGCAAGTTCCAGCGCGACTGATGAATGCCATAGCAGGCGGCCTCACTGCTGAGCATGTTCATCGCAAATATAACCTTCAGCAAGGACATCAATAAAGTTCATTTTCACATGTTGTCTGTGTCATTTCAGAGTGGTTTGTGTGGGCTGTACAAGAAATACAGTTGGTACCTGAGGAGGAAGGTAAATTATGCCAGTTGGATTGTGGATAATGGGTGCTTTAGGGAGATAAATGTCTTGAGGCAATTGGGGTTGTAAGCTGGGGACTAAGTCACTGTCTGAAAAGCTAAAAGTAATTACGTGATAGTTTTTCTTACTGTTTCCAAAAGGAGTGCTGAGCTCTTCCTAGAACCTCAGTGAAACTGTTTTTAGGAATGCAGCTGAACCATTTTTGTTTACTAGGTAGGGTTTTTGGTAGCAGGCTAAGGGCTGTGCTTTCATTATGAAGACAATGAAATACCTCTTCACGTTCCTGCTCCTCAAGTACTAATATTGCCCTTCAGCTTCGTAGCTTTGTTTTTTAAAGTATCTTTTCTTACCTGTTGCAGTGATTCATGTTACTCAAGATCTTGAAACGCTTCTTACATGCGTAAGGGTGTCTGGCCCTTATGACAAGCTTTCTGTATCAGCCTGAGATGGCTGCAAGTTCCTATGGAATGAAAGATGAAGCAGGGCAGAGGGGGAAGCAGGGAGCAACATCAGTGAGATAACTTGGTAGATAATGATATAAGGAGTTTTGGGGGGAAGTGTGAGGTGTAGCTGTGTACTTCAGTTACAGTAAATGCTGATGTTGATTCAGGTTCTGAAAGAACTTGAATATGACAATATCAACTGCAAAGTGAGAAGAAAGATGAGGCAAGCAGATGGCAGTTGTTATTGTCTCAGACCTTGTCTCAAGATGGTGGTACTGTGTGCTGAAACAGGACGTGTAGGGGGGAAAAAAAGGATAAGAAGGGGAAAAGCTGATGTAGAGATGGAAGTCATCTTAGGGTTTTTTATCAGGGAGGGATATAATGGGTAAACAAGCCAGAGAAATGCAGTTAAATGCACTGAGCTAGGTGGCAGCAACTTTTGAAAAATGAAACATGAAGTTAAGTAAGGCTGGAGAACATAAGTTCTAGTTATTGGACTGGGATTTGGTAGATCTCCCAGATTAAGGATCTATTACAAAATGAGGGATAAAGAAGCATTTGGAAAAAATTTGGAGTTGATTCTGGGCCCTTCGTTAAGTCAGCCACAGAGAAGACATCAGAGAAGGCAGACCAGAGTGGAAGGAAGTAACCAGTGCAGAGACAGCAGCTAAGGCTTGTGTAGCTCTCTTGTCACCTTGGATATTTCATGCAAGGGTTTTTTCAAGGAGCTGGTAACGGCTGTGATGCAAAACTGTTCTCTGGAACTTACATTTTTGTAGGATGTATTTTTCTAAAAGATACCAGTATCAGGTGTGGTTCAGTTATATTTTATTGGGGACTGTTAGATCACATCAAGCTCAAATAATGTATTTAATAGACTGTTTGAGTTGTGGAACAAAGTTGTGTTCCTGAGGACACTTACCTGTGTTATTCACTGGAACAGTTTTGGATGTTTTACAGGCTGCAAATATTTGGCAGGCTTGTGAATGCCAGGATAGTGAGGCACAGCAGCACTTGGAAATGGGTTTAGGGGAGAGGAATGGAAATTTATTTGTCTTTTTCTCAAGGTTAATACTTAATAAAATACAATTAAAAACAACCAAAAAATGACACACAAAAAAAACCCCTGAACTGTGACTCTTGCTCATTAGACATCTTGGTGGGTTTTTTTTCCCTTTCACTGGCTGGATACAGGACTCATTGCTGGAGCTAACTGGACTTACACCACAATTTCTCTGAGGACATTAAAGATCTCTTTGAGGTCAGTTTCTAAGCTGGTAGCTAGAAAGACATGGACGATTTGTAAAGTTGCCATTTACAAAACACGTTTGAGGCAGTAATGGGTGTCCTTACCAAATCTCTTTTCTGTACTTACTGGTGATATACGCTTCTCTATTTGGCCAGAGGCTGTGGTGGTAGATCGTCAGAGAGCTCCTTAAAACTGACATAGTAAACATTTTGGGTTAGAATGTTTTGAATTTCCCAAATGCAACAGACTAGTTCTCTAGCTACAATGCCTGGTTGGTAGGAAAGCTAAACTCCTTTTGTAGCCTCAGCATAATTTTTCCTGTTTGTAGAACAGTAGTCACACCTGCTTCCTCGTAATTCATAAACCAATTACACAAGAGAGAATCTCTCAGAGAAGCTTAACCCTTAGGACATGCAGATACCGCTTGGCATCATGTGGCAACTGCAACACAACTAAGTAACGCTCAGTTGCTGAGATTCTAGTTCATAGTGACTTGGTTATAGCTGTCCTGTCTTCTGTTACAGGACAAATGCAGCCTTGTGACATTTGACTTGATCTTTACGGGTGGGTGGAAATCTAGCAGGCTCTGAAAACCACTGCCATTACGCGTCTCCTTTGTTCTGTTCTCCTGCTGCACTAAAGAGAAAGCTTTTGCTTTCATATCCAATGGTAATGCATAGAAATTTAATAGTCAAAAAGTAATGCGTTGATTGTCTGGCAGATAAGATTGCTGTTAAGATTTTTACCTATTCCATATTTATTTAAATATTTAGTTCCTACCAGGAGGAAAAGCGAGTGGAAGAATAGAATGGCCTAACAAACATGCCATCCTGTTAATGAATCGGTTCCAAACTGAAAAAGCAAGTAGTATATTGATGTGGAAATAAACAGCCCATGCCTACAGCTTTGCTCTTCCTATTGGAGTCAAGCTGAAACCCTCTTAAATAACCAAAATAAAATGGTATAGGACAGAGCTTAAGCCTGACTGGAATGTCTTCCAAATTTACAGCCAAATAAGAAAGACGAAGGTGAATTTTCAGGAAATACAAATCTGTCCCCTTTGGCTTCAGGTCACACCCATTCCCAGAAGAACATAGCTCATCATGGGATGTATGATGTTCTCTCTTGGTATATTCTCTTGGGCCAAAATTTATTTTTAATTGTACTTGTGTGACTGATGCAAGGAGAAAGCTTGGGGGTGTGGGGGGAAAGGAGTGTTAGCTTCCAATAACCTGTAATAACGAAAGAAGAGTAATTAGAGAATGCGCCCTTCATGCACATCGTGGTTTGTCTTCCTCTGGTACTGAAAGTTATAGGCATCCGGAGAAACAGGAATCCCTGTCAGCATCCTGGAAGTACCAGAAGGAAGTTGCGAGGCCACGGCCACAAGATTGTGGACAGTTCATTTTTCTTTCTTAGGGTCTCACGTTGTCCTGAATCCAGTCAAGATAACGATTCACGTTTGTATAAACACCAGGTATGTCTTTGCGGCCACAGCCTATTCCCCAGCTGATGATTCCAATTAGATACATACGATCATCCTTCATACAGACCAGAGGCCCTCCAGAGTCGCCCTACAGAGAAGCAGCAGGTTATTAACAATCTCCTCTTTTGTTTATTTGGTTTTGTGTTGTTTTTTCCTCCCATTGGCTTTAGTGGTGCACTAGTGTCTCTGGAAATACCCTACGTAGCGTGCTCACAAATCGAGAGCTCTTCGTAACAGCAGTTTCACATAAGCCACTTTTGTGTTCCAGACTCCCTCAACGCTCCTTTTGTGGGGAAAAACACAAAAAAATCTAACTAACACTAAGCGTCTAACTTTGTATGGCGCTCATTTATGAAATGTAGGTGAGACACTGATAAGAACAAAAAGAGGAATGTTCTTATTCAGGCTGTAAAGATCCAGGGTGTTTTATACTGCTATAACAGTAAAGCAAAATTATTAGAGCTGTTTAAATGGAAAGGATGTGGACTGAACGTGTGCCCTCCTTTTTCCTCATCGTACAGCTGTTCGTTCTCTACCATCTTTTAGCCGTTAGTCTTCTTTTCTCCCCTTTTCAGTAGACCAGCACCCCCTTCCTCTTACAGAACCTCCCGCTGAGTGTTTTGCATGCTTACAAGAGAAAATATTAGGAAATGCTGCTGAGGTAGTGTTTCCTGCTCAGTTTTGTGGTATTTCCTATATTTGGGATTTTCAGTCTATTGTTCTGGTTCGCTTGGTTACGTGTGGCTTGCTTTCGCAGCTATGAGGGGTGGAGGAAGAAAACAGAAAGAGGAGCCAGCAGTTCTGTTCTGTTCAACAGAAGTCTGCTAGAACTTCCATGTAGCCAAACGCAGAACTTCTTTAAACTATTTTCTGAAACGTTTTGTTTGGTTAGTTTAGACTATCAAGGACGGACCTAAAAAGAAAACAGGAACAGAACTGAGTTTACCTTGCAGGCATCATCAAGATGCCTCGTGTCTCCTGCACATAACATGTTGTCTGTAACTGTCCGGTTGTCGAGATGCTGTGATGTGCACCGACTGGCTGGAAACAGTCTGACATGGCCTTCCTTCAGGTGCTCTGAATAGAATGGAGAAACTGCAAGGAAAATGACAATATAAATATGTGTGTGTGTATATATTTCCCCCTGTACTCGGCACTGGTGAGGCCCCACCTCAAATACTGTGTTCAGTTTTGGACCCCTCAGTACAAAAAGGTCATTGAGGTGTTGGATCATGTCCAGAGAAGGGCTACAAAGCTGTTGAGGGGTCTGGAGGACAAGCCCTATGAGGAACGACTGAGGGAACTGGGGTTGTTTAGCCCGGAGAAGAGCAGGCTGAGGGGAGACCTTATCACCCTCTACAACTACCTGAAAGGAGGGTGTAGAGAGGTGGGGGCTGACCTCTTCTCCCTGGTGAAAAGTGATAGGACGAGAGGAAATGGATTCAAGTTATGTCAGGGGAGGTTTAGGCTGGATATTAGGAAACATTTTTTCACTAAAAGGGTTATTAGACATTGGAATAGGCTGCCCAGGGAGGTGGTGGATTTGCCATCCCCGAAGGTGTTTAAAAAAATGGTAGATGTGGTGCTTAGGGACATGGTATAGAGATGGTTTTGTCAGGGTAGGTTGATGGTTGGATCTGGTGATCTTAAAGGTCCTTTTCAAGCTTAGCGATTCTATAATTCTATATTAAACAAACAAACAAAAAAAGCAGTTCAGTTTCCATAGTTTAGGGGAGAGTAAACAGAAGTAGCTGGCGCTGTGGGGGGTGGCTGAGCGAATATTTCCTTGCCAAAGGGTCTTAATTCTTGGGGGTTCTGCTTTGCTCGTGAGAACAGCTTAAATATAGCAGAGAGAGAATATTGCTTCTTTAGCATGCTTAAATGCTAGGGAGGGTTTTGTAGGCTCCCAGTGCAAGACTGCTGGGTTTCTTGGACGGACAAGTCATCTTTGCACAGTTGCATCCATCAAAATGAAGTCACTGGAGGTGCCTATGAAGACCACTAACTGTATCAAACAGGATCCTGACTTCTTACTATCAGACCTGTGCTAACAAAAATCAGCTGCTTTGTTGTACACAATACTGAGTAACTGGATAGGAATGTACACTTGTGTGATGTTGGAACGGAAGGGATTTTTCTGTTTGTTTTGGGTGTTGGTTTTATTCTCTTGCATAGCTGCAATTGCACAAAGCTGAAAGTTGGCAGGATTGTTGTTTTTCAGTCTAGTATTACAGTTGCAGCATCCTTTCCCTCTCAAAGAGTTTATCCAGTACTCCCTGTAAGCAATGCTGAGGACTTGCTTCAAAAGCACTTTATGCCACACTTACATGTTAAATCTGCAAGTCTGTTCCAAAAACCCTATGGGTTCAAATCATGATTAGGTCTTGCTATGATGGATGCTTCACAGCCTCTGTCCCAGAGTGTACAAGTTGGAGAATAAAAAGAAATTAGTAGAAAGTGCCAGTAAAAGAAGAGCTGGGGTTTTTGGTTTGTTTTAAATGTAGGTCAGCCTGCGTATACTTTCAGACAGGTTTTATTCCTCTTTGTTGTAGCTGACTTTAAAAACCCTTTAGCCAGCCTTTTAATATGTATCTGGGATTGTTATTTCTTTATCTGGTTTGGGGGGTTTGTTTTGGTTGGTTTTTTTTTTTTCTTTGCTTATCGCTGCACAGCTAATGTATTGTTTAGAATAAGGCAACTACCTGCAACTGCATACTATCTCAAATCTTGACAGAAATGTATTTCTGTCAGAATGATGACATCTAAATGTACTCAGTACAGCAGACAGAAGTGTGGCAGCCCTGATTGAAAATTTGCTGTCTTTTCTACCTTATTCATTGCACCATTTTTTGTGTTTCTACTGTTGGAGAGTATCAAGCTAGTACACTAGCCCATGCAGCTCACAGAACTCAGATGAATGAAATAACTTACAGCAAAACTTGTTTTCGTGTATCTCCTACTTACGTATACGTTTTGTAGTGCTGATATAAGCCCATATAATAATGTAGGAGGTCAGATATGAAGCTATGCTAAAGGCTTGAATTCGTTGAGGGCAGGGGACCCAATCTCAGGACACAGCATCTTCTACTTACATGTAGACATGTATCTTCTACTTACATTCTTCATTCCTGCCATAACCAGAGATCTCGCATTCAGTCCAGTCAGGCAGCTGCAGTTCTGGCATGGGGAGGCAGGCAGCGCGCACGGTGTCTGTTTCAATAGCACATTCTTCCGCATCTGAGCTCAAGTGCAACAAAGCTGAAGAGGGAAAAAGAACCCCCGCTTCATTAACCACAAACTTGAGCCAACCGTGACCTTTTCAGTCAGGTCAGAAAAGTTCTTACCAATATCATTGTTGAAATTTTCTGAGTCAAATCTCTGATGCACAGTGTAGTTCCTCACTTGAAACTTTTGTTCATTTTCCTCGGGAGTTGCTCGGGAAGTCCTGCCCAGCACAATCGTCAGCTGGCTTGCACTAAAGCTGAGGAACAAGAGAGTCTTACTTTCTTCCTGTGTTAACAGGAGCAGACCCTTCCCTTGAAGATGTGCTGCTGGAGCTTTTGCTGTTCTTATTTTAGCACTCTTATGACTCATTACCCAGGCAATTTGACCTCAAGTGTCCTGTTTGCCTTCGTTTTTGCACTAATTGCTTACAGCCATCATGACAAGGCTCCTCTGCCAACCCCTTGCTGTTCTCATGTTTCAGATGGCTCTGCATCTGTATCGAGGACTTTGTTCTTCAGATATTTGATATCTGCTGTGGTACCTTAATGCTGTGCTGTGAGCCTGCCTGTCTGTAGTGCTCAGCACAATTAGCTCTATAATCCTTAGTGTAGAGTGACTTACTGGGATGAAGAGCTCTTTTCAAGTCGTTTACCCTTCCAGTACAGCTATACTGGATGCTTCCATTTTCCAGATTTCTTTTCCCCCATACAGTACTGAATCCTCAACCTACCCTTCCTCAAAGCAGTGAGCAGCTGACAAAACCCAGCAGGAGCGGATGAGAATTCCTCCACAGAGGAAGTGCTCTCCGGGAGCTCGGCGATACTTCACAAAGATGGCAGCTTGCCACGGGTGAGCTGCAATGTCGGCATAGGAGCCGCCTTTAATCCTGTACTGCCGTGTTCTGCGCTGCCGTAAGCCGCAGGTGGCTGTGGATGACAAACCCAGAAATAGCCATTTTTTGTTCAAGCACTCTTCCTTGGGTTAAGAGCCTGTTGGTTGTCAGTGCATGTCACGGCAGCCTGGCACAAACTGTTTACTATCTGACTCATTCCCGTTCCCTAGGAAACTTGTATTCTGGTTTGAAAAATACAGTAAGGAAACCCTGCCTTTTCTGTCCTCCATTTCTGCAGTATTCCCTCCTGGCAGAGAAAAAGGCACTTCTGTGAGAGTGGAGCCACAGAATCTCTTTCTACCCCAAAAAGCTTTTTTTGTTGTTTTTTTTTTTTTTTCTCCCCAGCTCTTACTTCACAGTAAGAGGCTTGAGTGTAATACAAATGACATGCAGAACAGTAATGCCTCAAAGAAAGAGAAGAATCAGGAGTGCTAGGATCCTTACAGCAAGTAGGCACACTGCAGTACTCCCAAGTGAGCTGATTTCCTTTCAGTACATGGCACCAGGGTTTGCTGTCATTGTCAGGATTCCTGCAGCACAGGAGAGAAAAGAGCTATTTGTTTGATCAGACCTGCAGGGAGTTTGGGGAGGCCTGAGCGTACTCTTTTTGATTCTTCTAGAGATGCAGAGGGCCCTAGGTCACGTGAAATTTGCATTTATGGAGTCTTACGTTAGAGAAGCGTAGATAGGTCACGTGGAATAAAATCACTATTGTCAGTGAGCTTCATTCCCAGCAGTAATGTATTTCCTGTGCTTTAATAATCCACATAAAAGTCTAGAGCCTTGCCTCAAGGGTACCACGAGGAAGTTTGGTGGGATTTTTTTAATTCTATAACTGATTACATACCGGCAGAAATTGTGGCTACCGAGGCCCAGCTGGTAAGCATCTCTTCTCCAAGCAGTATATAACTTGTTGACAAGGATTCGAGAATTCCATCTCAAACAGGTAGCTCCAGAACTGGTAACACTGTGGCTGCCTCGGTAATCTGTGCCTCTTCCAGATTTGCAGTTGGTGTTCCCAACTTCAATAAGAAAGCTGCATGTTAACCGATGGACGTGAACCTGTTAGCTGTTCCTAACTGTGATTTCTGTCAAGGCATCTATACATTAGCTGTATTTATCTCAGTCTCATAAATATTAAAAGCTTAAACGTGATTTAACGTGAGAGTCTCAACTTTTCAGGCTACAGAAATAGCACAACTCCACAGAGAACCCTTATATGTGCAGTGAATTGTGGAAGCTTTATAAAGTCCATTCCCTGTCCCCCTGCATGTACCTTTTGAACAGGAGGGCACACTGCAATGTTCCCAGATGTACTTTCCCCCTCTATAGATATAGCACCACGGTCTGGAATCCTCATCTGGGTTTCTGAAAGAGTTACGATATTATGCATCATTATAAAGCTGTTGTTATTAGTCCCTTGTCTGCCATCTAGTTCAGTAACTTAATCCCGCTCTGTAGTGAAGACATGCCCTGAACCATCAGAAGTCGTTTGGATTCCTATTTTAATTATAAAATTGTGGAGCGCACGGAGGTGAGGATGAGCCAGCCAGTCGCTAGCAGGAGTGGACAGATTGTTTGTGCAGCTTAGTTCACGTGCAGGAAGCACTATATTTTTAGAGTTTTGAGCAGGACCTGGAGCTGCAGGGAACCGGCTTACAAAGGGTGTTTTAGGCACCAAGAAGGGACAAGGGAAAGACCGTGGGGTGAGAGATGCATGCTTTCTGTAGTCTGTCACAAGATAGAGCTGAAGTTCATACATGTCTACAGAATTTGCAATTGCTGCTCACGGGCTGTGCTGTTATTTGCACAGGTGCAGAGTGTTCTCTGCTTGGTATGAGACTGTCGCAAACAGCCGTTCTTTTGCTCCAAGCTCTTAGAATGGGCTGACTCCTGTGGCTCTGACCTGAGTGCCATCAGCCCCTCACCTGCAGTAGTTGTGATTGCCCAGTCCCAGCTCAGCAGCATCCTCTCTTCGGCCGCTGTACGGCCGGTCCATCAAGCCATTGCTGTTCCAATTTAAACATTCTGTTCCACTCTCTGTCATGCTCCACATACCCCTGTATGTTACTCCAGCACCTTTGTAGCACTTAACTTCAGTATCTGAACAAAAGTGAACAAAATGTTACTATAAGGACAGCATCCCAAACTCCAGTTCCCCATCTCTGTTCTGTTTAAACTTGGCTCCCAGATGTGTTGTCTAGTAAGTCAGTGAAAACACCTTGCCAGGCAGACTGTAAGTATACACGAAGGTCTTCAGCTCCAAAATTCAGAGTTTTATTAAGAAACACTGAGAACATCCCAGCTGTCCTTCTGAAAAGTTCTTTGTAGTATTAGCTTCAGAATAAAAAGAGGCAACTTAACAGAGAGCCAGTATACAGCAGCAGCTTCTGGGTACTCATCCTTCTGCACTGCATAGCTAAAACCAGTAATTCCCAGTAATTCACGGTAACGGACATCGTATACTCACCTATTTCACACTGCTTCCCAGAGAAACCTTGGTGGCACTGGCAGATGAAGAGCTGTGGGGAATAATATGCCTGTGAACACTGGCCCCCATTGTAGCATTTATTCCTAGTGCAGGCTGCGGAATAAGCAAAAGCCAGGAAATACTGTTAGATTTCACAGAAGTAAGAAGGTGGCAGTGTGTAACCCATCTTTCCTCTCCTGTCAGTCCCCTTTAGCCTGTGCTATTTTTCCCTGCCTACCTGTTACTGTCAGGTGCTTGCAGTCATTTCGTGTAGTGCTTACGTTCTTCCTTTGCTCCGTTCTCTCCACATACACTATTAGGTGCCTTCCTCAACCCCTTGCCCGCTCCGGCTCAGTCCTGCCTAAGTCGGTATATGTTAGTATTGTCATTTCTATCCTATTCTATTTCAAGCCAAATTTTCTGTGTGGTAACTCCTTCCCTGACAGCAGAGTTCTTATTTAGGATGATTAGATGGACAATCTCTCATGGTCTACCATTTCCCTTCTCTTTTTCTTCTTCATACTCACCTCTGATAGGCACAGTGTGGCAGCGACTCCGACCACTGTCGCACCTACAGTATTCTATTCTGCTCCCTGAGAGCCTCAGCCAGGTCCCCCTGTGCTGGTAAATTTCTCCAGATGAATTGTCTGTGCAAATGGCTGTAATTGGAGAAAGGAAATCCTACTTTAGAGATTCAGGGAAAAGACCTGGCTGAGCAAAAGAACTCCCTTCTCTTTCTGGGAGACAAGTATCTGTGGTGGGAACATCAGTCTAACAGGCCCTTTTTTCCCTTCTCAGACCACAATTGTCCCATCTCTCTTACTGCTGTGTTGCTGGACGTACTGTTCCACTATTGACCATCCTCTTTTTCTTTGAAGAAGAGCAGACGGAAGGGAAAACTTTGTTCTTTGGGTTGTGGATGGTGTTAAAGGTCTGGTATTTTGCCTTCTGAATCTCTCATCCAAATAACCTTGACAAACAGCGTTCAGGCTCTGTTCCCTCAGCATCATCTGCTTTCCCTTCCTGTGTTCATAAAGCCCCAGGTAACAGGTTTGTCTTTTGTTTGTCTTACCTCTAGATCTGGCTCCCCGTTTGAAACGCGTGCGTAAGCCCTGCAAGAAAAGAAGGTTAATTCTGTGAGTAACTTCTCTTAAGAAAACTGCCTCCAAAGAGACAGTCCTCTTCTGGAGGTCTTGTATATCAGGAGCTCTGAGCACCTGACCTCCTCGTCAGACAGTACAGTGAACAGTGCCTTTAGTACCTCAGCATGGGTACCGAGAATTGTAAACCACTGAGTTGCCACAGAGTACCGTGTGATTGCTTGTCATCCGAGTGACGAGAACTTGGGATGTGCTGTACTCACATCGTGTGTGAAGTGATTATGTGCTCTTAGGGCATGGCAAGTGCTACCTACAGCTTGTCAGCTTTCTGCTATTTGAAGGAGGTTCAAGCAAATAATTTCCAAAGAAGTAAATGTGAACAAGCAGTTATTTTTGCTCACTGACATGCAGTTTCCCCATAAGCCTCTGTAGCTTGATTAGCTTTGACAGATATGTGTCCTGCAGCCAATTAAATAAAATATTTTGGATAAAGTTTTAAGGAAGAAACCAATTTAGAAAGCTTCTTTGATCAGGCCACAAGAGAAAGAATAACATAAAAAGAAAGCAGGTCAAGGGAGGTGATCCTGCCCCTCTACTCCACTCTCATGAGACCCCACCTGGAGTACTGCGTCCAGCTCTGGAGTCCCCAACATAAGAAAGACATGGACCTGCTAGGGTGTGTCCAGAGGCGAGCCACAAGGCTGATCCCAGGGCTGGAGCACCTATCCTATGA